ACACAGGTCAAATTTGTAAGTTACCAAGCAATCACCTCAGGTATTACGTATTTAATGGACGCAAAGAGCACAGTGAAGACTTCATATAGATAGCATCTGAGCTGGCCCAGGCATGGGGGTACCTGTAATTCTAGCACTTGGGAGGCTGAAACATTGTGAGTGATCATTGTGAGTTTGAGACTAGTCTGGGTTATAAAGTGAGCTCAAGACTCCAGCCTTTGCTTAGGGAGACCCTGTCCTTAAAAAAAAAAAAAAAAAAAAAAAAGACCAGATATGAAACGTGAAAAAAGCCACATGGTTGACTTATGAGGATATCACACATCAAAATCAAAGTCAAGAGGAAGCGCTATTTTTTTTTTTCTTTTTAGAGCTGAATATATTTATTGAGAAGAAATAAAGCTTCTGTCTGGGAAAGAGACAGAAGGGTTCCTGAGTGGATTGCCCAGAAGCACTAATTTTGGTGAGAGGAAAGAACAGTTTTCAAGTAAGTGTCACTTGAGTGCCAATAGGAAAATCACATTGTCCATACAGGCAAATTAAAATAGGCTAAGGCTGGTCACTGAGGCACACACCTGTAATCCCAGCAGGAGGATCACTTGAGCTTGGTGCCAGCCTGGGCTACATAGTGAGTTCAAGGCCAGCCTGAACTGCAGTGAGGTCCTCAAAATAAATTAATTAATTAAAATAAATTACCTCAAAAATAAATTAATTAATTAAAATGGACTAAACTTGAAAGAAGATGAATATTTAAATCTATTAGGGATTTTTGGCTATTGGCTGAATCTCTTTTCTGTCCTACTACAGTAAAAGCTATAATAACAAGTATCATTTGTTCAATAGTAAAAGAAGCAAGCATCGCTGGGTGTAGTGGCACACTCCTGTAATCCTAGCACTCACTCGGGAGGCTGAGGTAGAAGGACCATTGCCAGTTTGAGACCAGCCTTGGTTACAAGTGAGCCCAAGGCCAGCCTGAACTGCATTCTGAGACCCTGTCTCAAAAAGAACAAAAAGGAAAAGCGAGCAGGACAGGGGCTAAAATTTGCTTAACACAAAGGATTAGAACACAATTACAAATCAGCTTGGAACAGGAATAGGTTTGCGACAGCAGCTCTGGACACTCACCATTCCAAGGTGGAGGCTTCCAGTGGGCTGTTTCCTTAGTAGGGTACATGACAGGACCCGAAAACTGCTGTGCCCATTCCACATCTGGCTGCCACTGCCGAGCACCTCTAGGAGTTAAAAGACAGATCCTAGAGAAGGGCCTGAACAATGCTTAGTTCCTCAGTTTCCATTCACTCTAAAAAGGTTCCAAGGACGGATGTCTTGGATTTTTCAACGCCACATTACTGAGTCAAAATACGTTGAATTCTAGAGAGTCCATTTCTATTAATAAGTCATTCCTGGACTTACTTCCCCTAGCACTCTTGTGCATGTAAGACTGGGCATCCTAACTCCTTCGTATTTTCATTACATTCTCATTCTCATTCATGTGGATATGAATGCGAGAAAGGTGTTTAAAGATCACCTAAGACTATGAAGAGAATGAATGGGTGAATCCTGGCTCCTCTGCTGAGCTCTGGAAGAGAGATGCACGTAATTAACTAAAGTTGAAGGGCAAAGACTACCACTCCACTAATTTTACCCCTGGTAAAACGGGTTCAAAACCCTCTTCCCTTTCTCGGTTGCAATGGGTGCCACGACATTTTGGAACCTGAGAAATCAGAGCAGGTGAGAGGGTCACAGACCTGGGTCATTCTTTTCGGAGGGTCGCTGGGCCCAAAGAGTGACCTCGGATTCGACAAACTCTACCCTTAGGAAAAACGCTTCGAGGGCTGCCATCGGTCTCACCTGTTGGGCTGAATAAGCAGTCGGACCCCGGGCCAGGGCCGCAGCACTTGGGCCCCAACACCACGTAGGGTGCAAAGAGCCCTCAGCGCCGCCATCTTACCGCAACTGCAGCCTGTGGGAAGGAGAACCGGGCGGAAGTGACTCCTGCGCGCCTCCATGTGGGCTTCCCCTATATTAGCATCACTGGAACGCCATTTTGGAAGAGGGCAAAACTGTCAATCAGGAACCTGACCATTTCCGGGTTCTGCTCCTTGGCTTCACTTAAATAACAGTGACTGCTGTCATCCTTACTGGGGGCGGGCCGTCTCAGGGCTGTTCTAAACTACTGTAAGCGAGGGAGACTTGCTGCTGTTCCTGAGCTCTCCTCCCTTTCCCAGACGCGCACTCACGCGGATCCTTCCTACTCCCTTCTGCTTTGGCCGCTTCCCTTGGTAGTCATGCTCAGCGAAGAGAGTGTTTGAGCCTTACCCTTGCCAATTACCTCCCCATGAGGAAATCCAAAAGATCTGGAACAGCTAAGCCAGCTGATTTCCAGATGCCCCGAAAAGGGATAAGGAAAAGGGGCCCAGTTGTGGCTAGGCGGGCCTGACAGCTCCCGCCAAACCAAAACAAAGAAAGAGAAGGAAGCCAAGGCCACCAGCATTGGTGGAGGCTCTCCCCCTCCCACCCCCGCCCAGTGTGAAGGAGCTACTTCAACCCAGATGGGAGAGGGAAGGTCCTCTGTGGGTGACCCTGACATCCTCAGGGCTTCCTGAATCACAGACTTGGTCAGTGGCCTCAGAGGTGCCTCATGCCTGCAGTCCACTCTGTCCAGTGTATTTTCCCACGTCTTTCTCATCCTGTCGCAGTTCTTCCCAGTAGTGACCAACAGCATAAAAGTATAAGAGCACCAGGACTCTGATCTCAATTGGTACCGACAAGACTATTGCTTCCAAGGCCAATTCCTGTCTCTCCCTCTGCTTCCAAACCCAGCTCCAGCTGGCCCACTCACCCGTGAAGTTTATACAACTTTCCCACCCTGGACTGTTTAAGGGAGAGTTAACCCTAAACCCTAAACAAGGTCCCTGCGATCCAGCCCACCAGCAGTGTAGCAGGCTAGAACAGACAGACAGACCAGGGAGTGGCAAAGACAGAGAATTCCTTGCTGCCGAGAAAGAGCAGAAAGCCAGACTTCTACCCTGAGAATTGACCTAATGGGAACCATACCAAAGGGTGGGGCCAGATCCCTGGCTATGGGAACTGACCAGGACCTGGCATAGACAGGCGGACCTCACAGAGCCAGGACAGAGGCTTGTCCTTTATCCTCTACATTCCTCACCCTTTCCTTATCTTTTACTCTTACAGTTGAAACACAGTAAATGTGATGATGGGATTAGGGGGGCTGTATTTATTTGGCTTAATCTAGCCTAGAAATCAGGGTAGACTCTGGGCCATGTAGCAACTTCAGCTGGGCCTGGGGTGAGGGCTCCTGGGGGGTTGCCTAGGACACTGCATCTTTTGTGTCTTCTCCCTGCCACTGACCCCCACCACACACATACACATACACAAGCTGCTGCTACCACTCTAAGGCCCTTTGTCTTTCTCTGCTTAGTCACTCCCTTTGTCCTCCTCTCAGATGGGGGATGGAAAGGGGTTAGTAAGAGCTCTCTGGTGATAGCTCCTCTTGCCCCTGCTCCTCTGGCGCCCCCTCCCTTGCATGATCCTACAGCCCCAGTCTCAGCCTCTACTTAGGACCAGAGAGGGTTAGGCCTGTAGCAGGTCAAAAGTGGGTATAGCAATCACAGTCGGTAGGTAATACGGGAAGTGATGGGCACCAGAACAGGCCTTAGTGACCTGGTCAGGAAGGGAGGAGGAGAGGAAGTATTCTTGCGGATATGATGTGGGAAACAGGAGGTGACCAGGCAGAGAGTGAATAAGGGGATGGAGTCAGGGGGAGGTGGTCCCCCTCTGGGAAAGGGAAGGGACTGCTGATTATACTCTTCTTCCTGGGGATTTCCTGGGGAAATAGTAGCCATGTAATGGTGTGAGCAGAAATTGCCCCAGACTTCTGAACCTTTGACTTCTTTGTCTTGAGAATCTACTCCAAGACCTCTGTTCTGAGTCTCCTCCAATCTGAAGCCAGTGCAATAATTTGCTTCTCTAACGGCAACTCTGTTCCCCAGGTACTTTCTCCACCCCAAGGAGAATGAGAAATCAAAGATTACTAGATATTCCAGGAACTATCAGGTTTTCAGGACTTGACAGGGACAGAGAGGGGATTCCCTCAGAATGACATAGGGTAATTCTTGGTTCCTGAGAGCAAGTCCTTGCCTGTGCTAGGTTGGCTGACTTGAGGCTGGGGGAGGGCTTAGGACTATTGGGAATGGGTAGGAGCAGGGCCAAGAGCCTGGGGAAATCTGCTGGGAGCTGGGCCAGGGAAAATGGGGAGTCAGGAAGTGGGAAGGAGGAGCCCTGGCAATGGGAAATGGAGGCTGGAATGGCTGTTGGGGCTATGGAGGGTGCAAAAGGGCTGGGAGTGGGTAATTTAGGAAGCCTGAGAGGCCACCCTGGAGTCTCCTATAAAGAAAGTCATTAATCCCTGCTGATTGTCTGCATATCTATTCCAGAAGAATCATCCTAACTTTGGGCAGTGAACTAACTCCCTGATCACCTGAACTTGTCTCTTGCCTCCTGAACTTGTCTCTCTGCCTTCTCTGGCTGTCTGCTTGGTCCCATCCTGAGTATGTCAAGCTACCTGCTCAGTTCTTCCTTACCTGTTCCCCACTTGGTCCTGAAAATCAGCCTCTGGGGGCAGAGGGCAGTGTGGAGGAGCCTTGAGAATGGAGAGGCCACGAAGGATTAGACAGTAGGAGCAGAAATTCTCCCAGGACATGATCTGTGTTGGCCAGACCCTTTCCCTGACTCCCTGCCTCCCCTGGGGCTTTGTCCCACCAAAAAGGAAAATAGACAGCTGAGGATTCCTTGTGGGGTTTAGGGGGAGAAAGGCTATGTCATCAGCTGGCTCAGTGTCCAAAATTCATCCAGCTGCTGGAGTTCCCCTCCCCCGCCCCGGCAAGTCCTTTTTTTTTTTTTTTTTTAAATTAAGGAAAACAAAAACCGAGGATTTTTGAAAGCTATGAGACACCCATGCAGACTCACAGAACTCCCGACTGAGTGGCTTACTGGTCAGCCAATCAGTCGAGAGTTTGGGTTGCTTAAAAGAGCTGGCGCGGAGAGAGGCTGGGGAGAGCCCACAGGGAGACCCGCAGACACATAAATACGGAGAGACAGAGGAGAGAAGCTGAGACAAAGCACAGCGAGAGGACAGGACGCAAAGGCAGGGCAAGCACAGAGGCGCAGCCAGACAGAGTCCTGCAAAGGGAGAGGCTAGAGAAGCTGTGAGCAGGAGAGACAGGAGGGTGCAGGAAGACAGTTTGGAGAAGCGACCCCTGAGCAGCTCTCTTAAGTACAAGGATTAACTTTTCTCATCTGTGAAGGTTCTCATCCCCTCTGAAAACTGCCTGTGGCCTTGCCACGAGGAAGCCCTAAGCTTTAGACAGGAGCTTTCTACAGCTAAGGTGTAGAGGACCTGGTGACTCCAGATGGCCTCTGTCCCTGCCAGCAGCAGCCCCTGTGCCATGTCCCTTACAGGCTCACATCCCGGGAGGGGCCTGGCTGGGCTCTGGCTGTGGAGAGTCCATCCTCGCCTGCTGCCCCCTGCAGCACCTCTTGAAGGACTGGTGTGGCTGCTGCTGCTGCTACTGCTGGTCTCTCTCCTGCCCTCAGCCAGGCCGGCTAGCCCCCTTCCCCGGGAGGAGGAGATCGTGTTTCCAGAGAAGCTCAACGGCAGCTTTCTGCCAGGTTCGGATGCCCCCGCTAGACTCTTGTACCGTTTGCCGGCCTTTGGGGAGATGCTGCTGCTAGAGCTGGAGCAGGATCCTGGTGTGCGGGTTGAGGGGCTGACTGTGCAGTACCTGGGCCAGGCACCTGAACTGCTGGGTGGAGTGGAGCCAGGCACCTACCTAACTGGCACCATCAATGGAGATCCAGAGTCGGTGGCATCTCTGCACTGGGACGGAGGAGCCCTCTTAGGGGTGTTGCAGTACCGAGGGGCTGAGCTCCACCTCCAACCCCTGGAAGGAGGCACTCTTAACTCAGCTGGGGGCCCAGGGGCCCACATCCTTCGCCGGAAAAGTCCTGCCAGCGGCCAGGGTCCCATGTGCAATGTCAAGGCTCCTCCTAGGAGTCCCCATCCCGGCCCCCGAAGAGCCAAGGTAAGCAACTCTATAGAGTGTGTCCTGCACTGTCCTCCGGCCATGTCTGTCCCACTAACCCCTATTCACCCTCTCCCCACCCACTTCCACTTCTGGCCATTCCACTCCTCTCTCTTCTGTCTGCCTCTCCTTTCTCTCCACTGGCCTCCTGTCTAGGAAAGACTCTGGCCTCTCTGCCCAGCCCCTCTAACAGATCCACTCTGAGGGTTCCTAGAGGTGGGTCACATATGCTAGGCTGGAAACAGTCGCTCCCCTTTCCTTCCTCCCTGCCTGCCCATGGCGTCCCCTGCTGGCACTCTCCCCAGCAATAAAGCTCTAACAGCCCCTCGGCATTGGCTTTTTTCCCTGCCCCAATGATTTTCACTCCCACACCCAACTAAAGGAGTGAGGTTTGAGGCCAGGCCAAAGGAATTGGACTCTGGTTTCTGATGCTGCCTTCGAAATTGTTCTGGCAAACTGCAAACTAGGACAGGAGTGGGCAGTGTAAGAAAGGATCCCCATACCTCTTGGTCAGCCCCACCCTGAGGAGTGACTGTGAGGCTGCCTGGGGCTCCATCCTTTCCTTCTTCCCACCCCTAGACCACCACTCCCCTCTCCCTCCCTTGCTTTAAGCTTTAATCCAGACCAGACCTCCCTCCACACCCGCCACGCTGAGATCTGGCCCCAGCCCTAGCTGCTGACTGAATTGTTCCTCCAACCGCACAGGGCAGACACGTTGCAGCCCAGCCCTCCAGCCCTAGTCCCACAGGCCCCAGCCATACATACTCAGGCCTGGGGGACCCCCAAAGCCACTCCCAGAGGCAACCCAGTGGCTTTTAACCTGGGGGGCCCTCACAGCCCTGTGACGTGGCATTTGTCTTTCCTCCTCTTCAGAATCAACAGCTGATTCCTCAGCTTTACCACAAAAGCCCTGGGATTTGGGGTTGAGGGGAGGGCCCAACCCAGACTGTCAGGAATCTCAGGGGTATGCAGGGCCCAGCTGTCTCTGCTTATTTCCAGACCCAGGAAGTGAGGGAGGGGGAAAGCCATCCATGGGTCCCAGAAGCTACTTCAAGATCCTCCTCTCCCTCTTTCTCCCCAGCGCTTTGCTTCACTGAGTAGATTCGTGGAGACCCTGGTGGTGGCCGATGACAAGATGGCAGCATTCCATGGTGCAGGCCTAAAGCGTTATCTGCTGACAGTTATGGCAGCAGCAGCCAAGGCCTTCAAGCACCCAAGCATCCGCAATCCTGTCAGCTTGGTGGTGACTCGACTAGTGATTCTGGGGTCAGGCCAAGAGGGGCCTCAGGTGGGGCCCAGTGCTGCCCAGACACTACGCAGCTTCTGTGCCTGGCAACGGGGCCTCAATACACCAGAGGACTCGGACCCTGACCACTTCGACACAGCCATTCTGTTTACCCGTCAGGTGAGACCCGTCAGTACAGGTTGGGCACAACCAAGAGGCACCACTCCTTGAACTGTAATGGAAATGGTGCCTGGCTCCAGCCACACTGCCATGTGGGATCCTCTGGGCCCTAACAGTGCTGGGTCCTCACAGCCCAGGCCCCGCCACCAACTCAGATTCTACCACTGTGAGCCCATGGGTGCTGGCTCTTTCAATGCAGCTTCTACAATCCCTCCCTATAGGACTTATGTGGGGTCTCCACTTGTGACACTCTGGGTATGGCTGATGTGGGCACTGTGTGCGACCCGGCTCGAAGTTGTGCTGTGGTAGAGGACGACGGGCTCCAGTCAGCCTTCACTGCTGCTCATGAACTGGGTAAGGGGAGGTTGGGGTCAGGGAGCAACTGGGGTACATAAATGAGGGGATCGTGAGCTTACCAAGGTACAAATGGGGACCCAAAGGTATTTCTTCCTGTCCCCATCCCCGGGCCTAGATCCAATTCTTAAATTTTCCTGTTAAATAAAATAGGATGTGGAAACCTACCATGAAGTGTGTGTGTGTGTGTGTGTGTGTGTGTGTGTGTGTATTTGGAGGAAGAGACAGTGAGGGAATGGGGGTTCAGGACTGGGAGTGTGGTCTCCAATGACACCTTCCTTTGGGAAAGGGAAATCAGGGCAGCATGGGGTCTACCTTAGGAGCTGTTAGCATCAGACAGAGATTGGGGCAAGGTAGAATGGCAAATGGCATTCCAGCCACAACCGGGTTCATGAGGGAGCCCCCCATGGGTTCAGGGATGGGACCCTGAACACTAGCAAGACCTCTGCTCTCCCAGGCCATGTGTTCAACATGCTTCACGATAACTCCAAGCAGTGCATCAGTTCGAATGGGCAGGGAAGCAGCTCCCACCACGTCATGGCTCCTGTGATGGCTCACGTGGACCCCGAGGAGCCCTGGTCTCCCTGCAGTGCCCACTTCATCACTGAATTCCTGGACAATGGCTACGGTAAGCAGACAGCCCTCACCCTTCCCTGGATGGGACTCAGTTGCATCACACAGACTCCGCCACTTGCTTCCTTTGCATGTGGAAGGCTGAGAAACTGCTGTCTTTGTATGCATACCACTTCCTAGCAAAATAAATTGCTCAGTGAGAGGAGCAAAGTTTTGGCTCAAGAGAATTAGAACTGGTCTTCTTAGGTCCGACATTGGAATGAGGTAAATGTGAAGGAGGTGGCTACGGTGTCACCCACTGAGCTGTGCAAGAACAGCAGCATAGCTGTTCTAGGCAGAGCTGCTGATGAGAAACAGACTCTGGCAGGTAAAGCAGGAAGACTTGGCGTTCCAGGTTCCTATCCTGAGTCTGTCCCTTAGGTGTACGCAGATGGGTAACGGTCAGTCATTTCACCTCTTGCTGCTTGTAGCTGATGTGTAAACTAGGTAAAATGATAATAGCTACCTCCTAGGAATTTGCCACAGTTAAATATCACTTAGCCTGTGCTCACCACATAGTAAGCATCCAATAAAGCCTCACATAGCCCTAGGATTTATTTTTCAGGGATTCCCCAGGCCCTGGCAAGCCTAAGCTTTCATTGGGAATCCTAAATGCTCCCCTCCGCTCCTTGCTGACTTTGTACCTCTACTTCCTCCCAGGACACTGTCTCTTAGACAAGCCAGAGGCTCCCCTGAATCTTCCTGTGACTTTTCCTGGAAAGGACTACGATGCTGACCGCCAGTGCCAGCTGACCTTTGGGCCTGATTCACACCACTGTCCACAGCTGCCACCACCCTGTGCTGCTCTCTGGTGCTCTGGCCACCTCAATGGTCATGCCATGTGCCAAACCAAGCACTCACCTTGGGCTGATGGCACCCCCTGTGGGCCCACACAGGCCTGCATGGGTGGTCGCTGCCTCCACGTGGACCAGCTCAAGGACTTCAATGTGAGGTCACAGGGCAGGGTGGGTGAGGGTCTGGGGAGTCGGGACTCCCTAAGCCCAGAGAGAGTAAGTACCTTCATCCCACCTGTCCACTTTGTGCCTCTGCAGGTTCCACAGGCTGGTGGCTGGGGTCCTTGGGGACCATGGGGCGACTGCTCTCGGACCTGTGGGGGTGGTGTCCAGTTCTCCTCCCGGGACTGTACAAAGCCTGTGCCCCGGAATGGTGGCAAGTACTGTGAAGGCCGTCGCACTCGTTTCCGCTCCTGCAACACCCAGAATTGCCCAACTGGCTCAGGTGGGTCTCCTTGGGAAAGGAGGGTAGAACAGGGAGGACAGTCCGGAGAATAGGACCAAGGAGGTGTCAGCCGAGCATGGTGGTGCACTCTTGTAAAAATCCCAGTACTTGAGAGGCTGAGGCAGGGGAATTTTAGTGAGTTTGAGGCCAGCCTGGGTTAAAAAAGAACGCTTGTTGATTGACCCTGCTGCTGGTGTGGAATGACTTCACCTTTCTGAACCTGTCCCTGGCAGTCTGTGTATGCTGTCTAAAGGTTCTGAGGGGCTAGGTGAAGAGGTCTGGGGGTAGTGGGACAGTCTGAGGAGGGAGTTCTAACTATCCATTTCACCCTCTAGCATTGACCTTCCGTGAGGAGCAGTGTGCTGCCTACAACCATCGCACTGACCTCTTCAAGGGCTTCCCAGGGCCCATGGACTGGGTTCCTCGCTACGCTGGTGTGGCCCCTCGGGACCAGTGCAAACTCACCTGCCAGGCCCAGGCACTGGGCTACTACTATGTGCTGGAACCACGGGTAAGGGCCGTGTCTATGCTCAGATACTCCTCAATTGTCCCTTGGCTTCTAACAGCCAAGATCTTTCAAAACAGAACCATGCTGGCTTTCCCACAGCCATACCAACCAGTTCAGCCCAGGAGTCTGCTCAGACCTATCTATCCATGTGTGTTAGGGAAATAAGCCCTGGGCTGGATACAGGGCCAGTGAGCCTGCTCTGGCCTGTCACATTTCCCTTCTTTTCTCTCTCTCTTCCCCAAGCTCCTTGCTCTGTGTTTGGTGAGAATGGAAGGTTGTGGCCTTTTGAGCAAGTTCTTTACTCTCTTTATGGGCTTCCCTGTCAAACTATGGTGGTGGCAGCATTCAGCTCATGGACAGACAGTTCCTCAGTGGCAGGCTTCCTGGAGAAGAAAAACCAGCCCTAGCAGCCTTTAACTCCTTCCCTTCTCCTATCTGCAGAGAATTCCTGTTGGTTGGCGCCCTCTAGCGTCCATGTGGGCACAGCATCACGTTTAGGGTTTGGTTTCAGGACTGAGACCTAAAATTTCCACTTTAGCACCTTGGCCTGTCTTTTGTGTAGGCTCAACCTTTGGTTCCTCAACCTTTCTCACCTTAGTGTTTATCTCTAGAAACCTCAAATAATAGTTGGGAGGGTTTCGTGTTGATGTTTATGAATGCTTTGTCATACTGCCTGGTTCATAACATGTTTAAAAAATGTTATGCTTTTTATTTTTCCAGTACTAGGAATTGAACCCAGGGCCTTTGTACTAAGCTATATCCCAGCACTTTTTTTGTTTTAAACTTTTGAGACAAGGTCTCAGCACTTGAGAGGCTGAGGCCAGAGGATCATTGCAAGTTCAAGACCAACCTGGGCTACAAAGTAAGTTAGCATAGTGAGACTCTGTCTCAAAAAAACTAAAAAACAAAAAAACAAGGTCTCACCAAGTTGCTAAATTGCTCAGGCTGGGCTCAGACTTGTGATCCTCCTGTCTCAGGGTCCAAGAGTGCTGAGATTACAGATGTACACCACTGTGCCTGGTGAAAATGATGGCTTTTATAATTGTAATTCTGATTACCATCTTGCACAGTGGCTGGGTCTCACTCTACACACCATCCACATCCCCACACTTTAGCTTTTCCAATGCCCTGTGGGACCTGAGTCTTATTTGGCTTACCCGTTCCTCCCAATTTAGGAAGAACCATTTCACTGTTCCATCTCTCCTGTTCAGGTAGTGGATGGGACCCCCTGTTCCCCGGACAGCTCCTCAGTCTGTGTCCAGGGCCGCTGCATCCACGCTGGCTGTGACCGCATTATTGGCTCCAAAAAGAAGTTTGACAAGTGCATGGTGTGTGGCGGAGACGGCTCCAGCTGCAGCAAGCAATCCGGCTCCTTCAGAAAATTCAGGTTCCCTCATCATTTCTTTTCCTTTCCTAGATGCTGTTCTGGGCTCTGAGGATAGGGACATGAACTAACCGTGTTTCCATCCTGAGGAGATGGAGGAGCAGGGGGCTACCGTGTAGTGTCCCTGTGTTCAGCAGAGCACCAGGAAGATGTCCTTGGGCAAGAAGTGATCACTGAGTTGAGTCTAGGAAGGAGATAGGCACTGGACAGGCACGGAGGGAGTGGGAGAAAGAAGGGCACAGGATAGCTAGTGTCACTGTCCACAGAGAGGAGGGGAAAGGGTATGTGTCCAGGTAGCTCTGATGTAGGCTGCATGGCTCACATTGGAGAGGGGACGACCCTCTGCACACACATACGCACACCATCAGACACCAGTTCAGAGGCTGAGGGCCCTCAGGAGATACTGAGCTTCCCGTCTGCTCCTTCCACACAGGTACGGGTACAACACCGTGGTCACTATCCCTGCAGGGGCCACCCATATCCTTGTTCGGCAACAAGGACCCCCTGGCCCTCGGAACATTTACTTGGCTTTGAAGCTCGAAGATGGCTCCTATGCCCTGAATGGTGAATACACACTGATGCCCTCCTCCACAGATGTGGCACTGCCTGGGGCAGTTAGCTTGCACTACAGTGGGGCCACTTCAGCCTCAGAGACACTGTCGGGCCATGGGCCACTGGCCCAGCCCTTGATACTACAAGTCCTGGTGGCTGGCAACCCACAGAATGCTCGGCTTCGGTACAGCTTCTTCGTGCCCCGGCCAGTCCCTTCCACACCACGGCCGCCTCCACAGGACTGGCTGCACCGTCGGGCACAGATCCTGGAGATCCTCCGGCGTCGCCCCTGGGCGGGCAGGAAATAACCTCACCATCCCGGCTACCCTTTCTGGGCGCCGGGGCCTCAGACTCAGCTGGGAAAATGAGGGGGCTTCTGCCGCTTCCTCATGTTAAGACACAGCGGGGAGGGGTTGTGGGGTGCAGCCTACCCCTGCTCTCTGGCCTGCTGTGCAGGCTGGCCCTGCGCTTATCTCCCAAGAGGGCAGGGATGGGTTGGTGCACAAAAGGGGCTAGGAGACAGTCTCCTACCTACACTGTCCCCTCTTCCCTGCAGGCCACAGGTGGCAGGGGGAAGGCAGGGAGGGTCCTGGACCCCAGTTATATTTATTAGGTATTTATTCACTTTTACTTAGCACCAGGGAAGGGGACAAGGACTATGGTCCTAGGAAACTGACCTCCACCCCTCATAGTACTTGCCCTGGCTCGGAAATCCAGGGTGACAGTGATAAGTGTAAGTGGTGTGTGTGGGGGTGTGTATGCGTAAAAATGTGTGTGTGCACTTATGTATGAGGTACAACCTGCCCTGCTTTCCTCTCTCTGAATTTAATTTCTGGGGGAGGGAAAAGCCAAGGACAGGAGAAGCCTTCAGGGAGTGACAGGTTATCATATTTGTAAGATGTATGTTGAATTCTTCTATTTATGTGCTCCATTTGAGTCAGACAGGTGTGGATTGCATCTTGGCTCCGTGACTCTGAGCATTAGTTTTCTAATTTTCCAATAATAATACCTCCTTAGAGATTCATTGTTGTGTGGGTAATGTAAATAAAGAACTAGCACAATGCACAGCACTTGGTAGGTGCTCAACAAATAACAGCTGGTATTAGTCATTACCATCACACTTCTGTCCATGACTGCCCACCGCAGAGTCTACCGGGCACTTGAAAGTGGCAAAGAGCCATGTCAACGGTGCCCCTTTGACCCCCAGCCTCAGCACCTTTGGTTGGTGGAACCCTGTCCCAAGTTCCAAGGGACTGTCAAAAAGAGCTCTCTGATCCTCATCTGTGTAAGCACCCCGACGCATGAAGGCAACACAATAAACACTTGGCAAGTACAGTGGATGGGGACCTGAAAGTGCAAAAATAAACAGGACAGCATCAAGCCAGAGACAGGTGTGCAGTGATGGGACTGAGCGGAGCAGGGCTGTTGACATAGGAAGAGCCCCGGAGCAGAAGCCCACAGGTCTGAATTTGAGCTGGGGGCCAGCATCGAATTAGCTGGGTGGTGCTGGGTCACTGATGCTGATCCTCAGGCTACTCACATGCGGAATGGCACTAAAACTACCTGTTGCCACAGCGTTATTCTGGGAGCAAAGGTTTCCATATTTTCAAATAGTAAAGGCTTTGGCAATATGAGAGGTTACACTAATGATTACTGAATGACGGGGACAGGGTCTCCAGAATCAACCAAGTAAACCCAGCAGACATCTTTGAAGATGTGGGGATAGAATGGAATTCAACCGGAGGGAATGGATTTGGCCTGCTTGGGGACAGGTGACAAGGCAAAAGAGAATAGGATGAAGCAGGACCAGAGTGGAGGAGGGCTGAGTGTCCAGTGGTGGCTGAATACAAGAGGAACAGTGGAGTGCTGTCCGTCTGTCTGCACCGGTGACTTCACTGCAGCAAGAATCTGGCAGTCCTGTGTGAGTTGTGGATGGGATAGGGTAGGAAAAGGCAGTGGGCGGACCCTGTAGGAATTTGGAGTTTTGAGTGGCAGAAGTAGGACTGCTGGGAATCAGGGAATGGACCAAAGGTAGAGGAGAGAGAGGAACCAGAGGAAAAGAACACTGTGAGCTGAGAGGGCAGAATGGAGGGACTGGAGGAGTTGCACTCTTCCATCGCAGCCCCTGCTGGGCTGTTGCGCGGCTCGGGGTACAGTGGGTTCCATTCATTGGGGCCGAGCTGTGCCAATCAAGGTCTGTGCCAGGCAGAGCCTTACATCATGCCCCGTACTTTACACCACCCAGCACCACGCCTGCTCCCTCTGTGACAGTGAGAAAAGGGCCACCCACAGGCCTAAGTAAACCTGGCGCGACTGCTGGGCTCCATGCCCTGGTCTTCTCCCGATCAGGAAGAAGGAAGTGGCAACAGGACAGTGGGTCGAGGCCAAGCTATTGTCAATTGTTCCATCTAATTAGCCGAAGGGGACCACCAAGAATACATTCAAGGACCTTGGTGCTATGAGCTCATGTACAGAGAGCAGAGGTCTGTGTGGAGTTAACAGGAGGCACAAACAAAATAAATGCCCACATCCTGAAGGAGCTCACATTGCATTCTAGGGAGGAGAAGAAAAAATGATGGGGCAATACAAGGAACTGGAAGAAAAGGGCCAAATGCCTGAACAGGCTCTGCAGGGCGAAGGCGGGTGTGCCTTGGGTTGTGTCCTTGGGACAGGTAATCAGGATAGCCCTTCTCACTTTCTTAGGAGCTTTCAGTGATTTGCCCTTTGTAAATCACTTTTATATGTGCTATTTTAAGGAGAAATCCTTTGCTTGGTGGGTAGGGCTTTTACTGACATATAAAAGTGTTTTTTTTTTTATCATTTTGTTTTGTTTTAGATCGCAGTGGCTACCTCTATGATTGCATGGGTAGATAGGTGGATGGGAAAATAAGAGAAAAGAGGGTAGAGAGAGACAGAGCTCTTCAAAAAGAAATGATGGGGCCAGAGATTTAACTCAGCGGCACAAGCACCTGTCTGGCAAGCGTGAGATCATGAGTTTGATCCTTGATACAAAAAAAAAAAAAAAAAAAAAAAAAAAAAAGATGGGGCTGGGGATTTAACTCAGCAGCATAAGCATCTGCCTTGCAAGTGTGTGGTCGTGAGTTCGATCCCTGGTACCAATAAAAAGGAAAAAGATAAAAGAAAAAGAAAAGAAAAGATGGGGCTGGCCATATAGCTCAGCAGCACAAGCACCTGCCAGGCAAGTATGAGGCCTGAGTTCAATTTCCAGTCAAAAAAATATAAAAAGAAATGCTGGGCTGGGAGTTTAGCTCGGCAGCGTAAGTGCCTGCTCAGGAAACTCGAGGTCACGAGTTCGATCCCCCGAACCAAAGAAAAGAAAAGAAATGCTGGGCACCCAGTGCTCAATCTCAGGCAAATCCTGATCACTTTCTAGAATGATCATTTCTGTACCGCCCCTCCCTGATGCAGGTTATTGGCTCCAGCTAATACTCTAAAGTCAGGAGTCCAAGAATTTCTTACCGTGTTGTAAGAGCCCAGGAGACCTCTGTCCCACAACCCCACCCCGCCTCCCTACTTACTGCCACCGAGGGCCTGAGCTAGGAGGGTGTGGGTATACAGCAGGATCAGAAACAGGAATAACAGCAAGAAAGGTGGCCCTGAAACCACTGAAGTATCTAAAGGGAACAAGGAGGCTGAGTGCAGAGGAAGTAAATGCCTCATCACCCAGCCAAGTTCAAGCAGAGTTTGGACAATCATGAGATGCCAAGCGTTGTGCATGAGTACACGCTGGAGGTGGGGAAGAAGACTGCAGCAACAATGGAAACGGGCTAATTTCTTAAAGTTCCTCCAGCCCCAGAGATTCTCTGCTTCTACGGTTAGAACGGAGGAAATCTGAGCATTTATACAACACTATTTTTGTGCTGGAAGTGGAGAGCCAGGATTTCTGGAGACTGCAATGCAATGGACAGTTACACTTTTATTCCCTCACTTATTGAATCTCTATTCAGTACTACAATATTTTGTTTTCTCAAATACTCACATTGACAGGAAGGGACAAAACCAGCCTCTCATTGGTTGGGGCTGGTTGGAGGGAGGGAGGGGCAAGGAAGTGAATTTCAATATATTAACATTTGATTGGTTAAGAAGATGCTTCTGAGCCAATCGAATACCTTTCCCACTGACTGTCACTGGGGAGAAGTCAACATCACTGGCAGCAAGAGTAACCAGCAGGCAGCTGCAGGAAACCACCAGTTCTAAAAATGCTCCGAAAGAGGGGGTGCGGAGAGTGCGGGAGCAACAATACTGAACAACTTCCCCAGACAGGACCTTATATGGGGATGGCCGCAGAGTACTTAAGTAGCCTTAGGAAGGAAAGGGAGGGGAGGAAGTAGCTTAGGCATCCCTTACAGTCAGCAGAAAGCTGACTGTACATCCCAGAAAGCCAAACAAACAGTGACACACGTGTTGCACACATACATCCAGCTTCATAACATGCACTAGCACTCTCTTCTCATAATGTCTGTGCAAATAGGCATTACAGAGCCAAAAATATTGCTTTAAAAAGTTGTCCTGAAAATGAGTCTGGATCAAAGAACAAAATATATTAATTGACTTGATCTCCCCTGTTGAAAATGACTGGCTTTATGCCACTTATTTGTTCAATAAATAAACTGTTGGGTTATAAACTGTGGTCATCCTGTTCTTGGAGCATATGAAAAGAACATGGACCTTTGCAGTCAAACTGAATCCAAGCTTCACTACTTACTTACATAAAACAACGTTTTATGTTGTTTTATGTTATTACATAAATTATTTTTGTTTATGTTGGTACATAAATCCACTTGCTTTCTGCAAGCCTCACTTTCCTCGCCTGTAAAATGAGTTCCTACTCCCTGTCTTATAGAGAGGTCATCAAAACTTTAGCATATGCAATGCAAATGCTTAGCACTGTGTGTCTGTTTGCAAGTGACCGATACTGTTGTCTGTTTCTTGAATCACTTCCTTTGCTTGCTTTGCTTTCTGACTCACATAAAACCAAGGAACTATCTACTCAGATCTAAGATGAGATTTTTGTGCTGTTTTTTTCTTTTTCTTTTTTTGACATAGAATCTCACTATGTAGCCCAGCCTGGTTTCAAACAGACCTGCCTCAGCTTCTAGAGTACTGAGATTTCCTGAATGCACCACAGTGCCTAGCTTTTCTTTTTTTTTTTTTTTTTTTGTCTTTCTCATTTTTATCGGTACCAGGGATCGAACTCACGACTGCCTGCTTCCAAGGCAGGCGCTTATGCCGCTGAGCTAAATCCCCAGCCCCAGTGCCTAGCTTTTCTATAGAATTCGTGCCAAAAGTTGTTTACCTTTAGGGGATGATAAAAGGAAAGCATGATCTCTGTCCTCAGAGAGTTTATACTCTGTGGCTGACAGAGTCAGGGAGGACCAGACTGTGCTACAGATGCCATGACAGAGTGGGAGCAGCTTTCCCAGAATATGAGGTCACAGAAATGGTCCTGGAGGAGTCCTTTCTAGAAGTAAGCTGTAAGATCCAGGGACTCTATGGAGTCCCACATAGGGGTGCAGGTAGAAAGAAGGTTATCTCTTTCTTTTTAATTTTATTGGTACCTTTTAGATATACATAATAATAAATTCATCATAGGGGATTTGTATATAATATATCTTGCTGCTTCTTTCCCCCCATTTCCTTCCCCTCTCTTCAGCCCCTCTTCTCCTCCTTGTTTAGCAACTTTTTGGGGGTACTGGGGATCAAACTCAGGACCTTGCACTTGCTGGGCAGCACCTTCCTCTCCCTGTTTACAAAAGCTTTGTTTCCATTGTTTCCTTCTGGTCGCTCTCTCTTTTTTCTTGTCCCTTCTTTTTTTCCTCCTCCTCCATCCTTGTCCTCCTTTCTTGTTCCCCTGGGGAAGGATTTCTGCCTACTAGGTCAACTCCAGAGTCCTTCTATGTTATGCAAAATCTGAGTGAAGTAAATGGAGCAGATATGAAGCTGGAGGATGGTAGATGAGGCAAGAAACAGAGCAGGGCAAGAGCTGGACAAACTTGGGCTGCAAGTAGGGGCTGAGGGACGGTTTCGTTTTGTCTTGTTTTGTT